AAATCTGAAGGAGGTGCACAGCCTAGGGGTCTGAGGCTCGTGAAGTTCTGAGGCCACAGCCTGGGCAGTGCTGAGGTCCTTGGTACCTACTTTGCTACTTCGATCATCTCTACCTAGAATGTCTTATTAGTTTTCTTGTCCATCCAGCTATAAAAGGAAAATAAATCAAAGATCGCCAAACAGGAACAGCTCTGGAGTGCAGTTCCCAGCAAGAATGCAGAGGGTGAGTGATCACCGCATTTCCAAATGAGGTTTTACTGCCCACAGACCAGGAGATTGCAGGGCAGAAAAGCGTCACAAGTCTCCAGCATGGCTGTTTCAGCTGACACAGTGGATCTCTGCACAACTACTCATACAAATCTGGGCAGCCATATCAACTAGTGCCTGGAATGCCTAGGAGACAGAGTCACCCATTTGACTGAAAAAAAGGCAACTGAAACAGGGAGCCAGGTGATCTGGCTTGGCTGGTCCCACCCCCACAAAGACCAGCAATCTAAAACGCTCTGGAAAGAACTTCACGGCAAGCACAGCTGGATCTAGGACAGTCCAGCACTGAGAGGGGAAGGGCATCTTCCATTACCAAGGCAATCCACCACTACCAAGTCAGTCTGCCATTACTGAGGCAGTCCACCATTACCTAGGCAGTCCACCATTACAGAGATAGTTTGCCATGACTAAGGCAGACTGCCATTACAAACATGAAAAGATGCTCATCATCACTGGTTATTAGGGAAATACAAATCAAAACCACATTGACATACCATCTCATACCAATTAGAATGGCAATCATTAAAAAATCTGGAGACAACAGATACTGGAGAGGATGTGGAGAAATAAGAACACTTTTACATTGCTGGTGAGAGTGTAAATTAGTTCAACCATTGTGAAAAACAGTGTGGCAATTCTTCTAGGACCTAGAAATAGAAATTCCATTTGACCCAGCAATCCCATTACTGGATATATATCCAAAGGATTATAAATCATTCTATTATAAAGACATGTACACACATATGTTCATTGTGGCACTGTTTACAATAGCAAAGACCTGGAACCAAACCAAATGCCCATCGATGGTAGACTGTACAAGGAAAATGTGGCACATATACACCATAAATACTATGTGGCTGTAAAAAGCGAGTTTGTGTCCTTTGCAGGAACATGGATGAATCTGGAAACTATCATTCTTAGTGAACTAACACAAGAACAGAAAATCAAACGCAACATGTTCTCACTCATAGGCAGGTGTTGAACAATGAGAACACATGGACGCAGGGAGGGGAGCATCACACACTGGGGTCTGTTTGGGAGGACTAGGGGCAGTACGGTGGAGGGTAGGGAGTTGGGGAGGGATGACATGGGGAGAAATGCCAGATATAGGTGACGGGGTAGGAGGCAGCAAACCACACTGCCATGTATGTACCTATCCAACAATCCTGTGTGTTCTGCACATGTACCCCAGAACCTAAAGTGCAATAAAATATATATATTTTTAAAAAAAGGAAGAAAAGAAAAGAAAAAGAAACCAGAAGGCAGAGGGTTGCAGTGAGCCAAGATCACACCACTGCACTCCATCCTGGGCAACAAAGGGAGACCCTGTCTCAAAAAATAAATAAATAAAAACTAAGGGGAAAAAAAAAGAAAATCTGAAGGAGTTACCAAAAGAAACCCTGTAACAAATAAACAATTATGGCAAGATTGCAGAATAAAAGTTAATATTAAAAACTCATTCTCTTTCCTTTATATCAACAATAAACAAATACATTAAACACACAATATCATTTATATTTCTATCCTGAAAAACGAAAGGCTTAGGTATAAATATAACAAAATATGTATTTATGATGAAAACTAATGCAAAAACTCAAAAAGAATTAAATAAACAGAGGGATATTCCATGTTTATAGACAGGAAGAATCAATATTGTCACGATGCCAGTTTTTTCCAACTTCATCTATAGATCAACAGAATCCCAGTGAAAATATCAGCTGTTTTATAGATATCAACAAAATGATTCTCAACTTTATATGGAGAGCCAGAAGATCCAAAATATCCAATATAATATTGAAGGTGAAAAACAAAGTTGGAAACTTGACACTACCCAACTTCAAGACTTACTATAAGGCTGGGCACGGTGACTCACACCTGTAATCCCATCACTTTGGGAGGCCAAGGTGAGTGGATCACCTGAGGTCAGGAGTTCGAGACCAGCCTGGTCAACATGGTGAAACCCCATCTCTACTAAAAACACAAAAATTAGCTGAGCATGGTGGCAGGCACCTGTAATCCCAGCTACTCGGGAGGCTGAAGCAGGAGAATCACATGAACCTGGGAGGCAGAGGTTGCAGTGAGCCAAGGTCATACCACTGCACTCCAGCCTGGGCAACAGAGAGAGACTCTGTCTCAAAAAAAAAAAAAAAAAAGAAAAAAGAAAAAGAAAGAAAGAAAGAAAGACTTATTACATATTTACAATCCTAAAAAAAGTGTGGTGTTTGCGAAATTATAATCAAATATTTCAAGGAAGTAGAGATCCCAGAAAGAGAGCCACATAAATATGGTCAATGGATCTTTGAAAAAGAAGCAGAGACAAAGCAATATTTTTAAAAGATAGTCTTTTCAAAAAATTGTACTAGAACAACAGTATTACCACACACACAAAAAAATAAATCTAGACACAGATTAAATCCTTCACAAAAATTAACTCAAAATGGACCACACACCAAAATGTAAAAAGCAAAAACTGGGAAACTACTGGAAATGTTCACTAGAAAAAAAGAATCAAATATATTGGGTGTGACCACTGTAGAAATTATGTTATGATCTAAATGAAAAAGACTATAACTGCAAGTAATTTTACAAGCAAATTCAGGAAACTAATTTAAGAAGGAGGTATGTAATTTTGATGCTTATAATTTATTTCAGCTGAACAACAAATAATTTTAGTATACATAAGCCTTATGAAATATTTCTCTTTTATCTATGTACACAAGCATTTAACTGGGTGTTCTATACTTTTATTTACTAAATCTTATAACTGTACATCCTTGGGCACTTTTACTTTTGCAGGTCCTATCCCATATGATAGCAAACATATTCAAATAAAATCACATCCCACAATAATTATAATTTTCTGTTGCTAAAATATATTACAACTTTTTAAATCATTATAGTTAAATAATCACACTGAATTTCCACATTATAAATGCCTTTTTAAAAATCCTAGAAATTGGACAAGTGAGGAATTCAAAGACTGTTGGTGATAACAATGGAAAGGGAGAATTGGTATTGTTAATCTCAGGAAAAAGGAAATTAAACAAAGATTTCTTTCCAATCGGAAAAGGGACCTGTCATAGGGCTCATACACCACAGCATAGCTAGTTATTCACTTGGGAGTCAGCGTGGAGGGGTGTTCAAAGCTGCATGGTAAGCATGTTGTTAAACAAAACTCAGCTACTAGAGGAAGACAAGGCAAAGAAAGGGTACATGGGGAAGGGGAAACAATATAAATTGTATATCCTTATGTGAAACAGAGAGGAAAGGTCTCTGAAACCACTAAATGTAAAAAATAAATAAATTTGGAGGCCCATAATTATTAATAACAATGGATCATCCTATACTGGAAGAAGACATGTGAGAAGTATTCTCCTGTGTATTATTAGAGAAGGAACATTCACTACCATCCAAACTCGGACTGTGAAATTAATGTGCTCATTAACAGATAAGCCTGCCCAAAGATCACCATTCAGTTCCTCACTGATTTAGTAAAAGCTAAGACAAATCACTAGGGGATCAGTAGGGATAGAACTAAGATACCAGAAAACTTAGTTATCAAGATAAATAATATCTTAATGCAACATTTTAAAAAATCAAAATGCAAAAACACACAGTGATGAAAAAAATATCAAAATTTTCAAGACAGGAAGGATCTGATCCTTTAGGTACATGACTCACCTCACTTTCCCCACCCTAATTAATCCTGGTCCTGGGGGAGCCAAGTTTTCCGCTACCTCCTTACATTTCAAACTTGGAGGATTCTATACCTAGCGTTTTGGCCCCAAGGGATCTTACCCCTAAAATCCTTCATCATCAACAAAACACACACTCAGTCTCACACATTCGTACACATCAAAATGCTCCTTCTTGGTGTTCTCAGCTGTCAGCTCTGCCTCCAAGCACTGCAATCCTGCCTACATTCAGTGCCTTTGGTCTTGACATTAAAGGTAACTTAACATGTTATATGTAAAATATTATTAAAATTACATTATGTTCTGGATCTGTTGTTGCATCCGATGATGAAACCTTCTCTGGAACTGTGGTCTGCAGGAAGATTTTATGAGCATCTAAAAATAAATATAAATGATGTTATTTTGATACCTCGGATCTTGTTATTCATTTCTAACTAATTCTACATTTGTTTCTCTACATTAGCAGTTACTTTTAAAGTAATCTACACATCTCGCCCTTTCCACTGTCTTTCTAATTATTCGTACCTGCAAATTTCTCACCCCTTGTCAAGATTTCAAATTATTATTCATTCTCCCCTGCACATCCCTCTCTCAACACAAACACACACACACACACACACACACACACACACACACAGTTTGGCACTGGCACAGCCTAAGTTAATGCTAAGTACAAAATTCAGTGTTGTAAAAAGGTGTGAAAATGAGAAAACACAGATGCATCAAGAAAGTGAGATCTTTTTCAGGGAAGAATGTAGAATATTGAAAACAAGGATGATCTGCACATTTCAATGGGGCAGGTGGAGAACAGCAGCTGCCAAATCAGTAAACCCTTGATAAATAGCTTTTTACTGTGATGCAATTATTCCTAATGTAGCAGAATTTTGTATGTGGAAAAAAATCACATTTTTCATTTTTGTTCATTTATGAATAAGGAAGCCATCCCAGAGAAGTAAAATGATTTTCTGTCGGAGGCTGCCTCTTTGCCTTTTTGGCCATAGACCTTGAAGCAAGGGGCCGGGAGAAGGTGGGAGAGGGTGGAGTCAGGGTCAAGTCTGGGCTGGAACTGGACCATGAGAAGAGTGCACAAGGTCTCCCTCGGAAGCCTGGATTCCTGGACTTACTGAGTCCTGCGTGCATCCCACCAAGTCCAGTAAGAAGCACCAGAAGAAGGAACATGGCTCGCTGTCTTGGAGCCCTGACGATGAACAGCAGTTAAGACGTTGAGACCTGCAGAGGCGCCGCTCGCGCTGGGCTGAGCGCACGTGAGGAGGCTGCGGAGAGGAAAAGCACACTGTGGAGAAGGACCAAGACGAAGGTGATTGTAAGCAGATAACGTGCTGCAGGCGGGCAGCTGAGCACTCAAGAAGAGCCTCTCAGCCAGTCGGTTTATTGTTAAAGAAGAACGGCTTCCCAATTGTTAATTCTCAGGTGAGGCTTTTGTTTATATCTTACTTAGACCATCCCTTTGTTTTTTTGTTGTTTTTTGTTGTTGTTGTTGTTGTTGTTGTTTGAGACGGAGTCTCGCTCTGTCACCCAGGCCGGAGTGCAATGGCGTGATCTGGGCTCACTGCAACCTCTGCCTCCCAGTTCAAACGATTCTCCTGCCTCAGCCTCCTGAGTAGCTGGGATTACAGGCGAGCGCCACCACGCCCAGCTAATTTTTGTATTTTTAGTAGAGACGTGGTTTCACCATGTTGTTAGACCATCGTTTTTTAAATTCTAGTTACAGTGAGGAAATAAACAAATATAAAAATATTGTGGTTACTGACAGCAATCAAATTTCTTCCCATTACGTTTATATACCATGCAGTTTAGCTAGAACCAGGCAAAATGAATGTTTGCAGAAACTGTTGCAAACGCTGTGACTTTTAACATTTCATGGTTGCAAACTCTGTGACTTTTAACATTTCATGATTGGAGACATCATCATAGGACAGCTATTGAATGCAGAACAGCCCGTACAATCCCTGCTTAAACAGATTTCCAACAAATCTTCTCTAATGTCCCAAGCTATTACTGCTACATTCTGTGTAATCCTGCAGTTCCTAGCTTTTACTTCTTTACTCAGAAATTTTAAAATTCTGCCTCTCGTAGAAGCAGAACCAGTTTGATTTATTGGGGTCCATAGGCACACTTTCCTTTGCAAATCCTAGGACACATCACATTAAATACACAAATAGAGTCACATTCCCACATTAACTGTAAGTTTTCAGTAAAAATGCTGAAAACATGTTTATAAATATGCTTTGAAATCACTTGAATGCAAATCTAAGGGAAGTTATCAACAGAAAAACAGTAACAATCTTTTAAAAAAAAGAACCAAGAGACCAAAAATAAAGTCACAAGACATGAAATGAATAGTAGAATGGATACAATTGCTTAATGAAGCAGAAATTTTGAATATCAGATTGGCAAACTCTCACAGTAAAAAACAAGGAAAAAAGTAGGAATGCAAAAATAAAATTAACTTATATGGAAATTAGAAATAGAACTGTCAGTATCTAGAGAATAGCATTTCCCAAAAAAGCGAAAAATCAAAATAAGAGTTAATATTTAAAGAAATAGGGGAAAAAGTTTCTGCACATTTAAAAAGTAAGACAATGATCATAGACTGAAAGAACCCAGAGATTACAAACTGGGCATTGAAGAGGAAAACACACACACACACACACACACACACACCCCACTGAAATTTAAAATGGCAGCAAAGAGAAAATTCTAGAATCTTCCAAAGGAAAATGACGGATTGCCTACCGAGGAACATGAATCAAATCAACATTCATAGCCATACTGAATACATGAAATCAATGGGTTATTATTATTAAACTGTTAACTGAAAAATGTGAAATATTATTCAAATGCGAAGACAGGAGTTTTAAATTTGTCTTCAATATTTGCAAAGAAAATTTAATATAAATATACATATCAGAAAGGCATTTCATAGAAGTAAATACATAATGAGGCAAACAGAAGATTCTATTAAGTGATGTCACGGTAATAGCAAATATCTTTCCAGTGTTTGTTTATATATGAGGAAAATTACCAAATCAAATAATGAGAACATATGTATCTAATAACCTAGAAGCATATTTTTAGAAAATATGACTATGATGGGAAGAATGGAGACGCGCAATGTCAAAACGATAATGTTCTCAATTTGTAACATTCTAACATGTATTTATGGAACTAAATATCTTTAAAATATTTCAACAAAAATTGATAGGAATATAGGGGAAAACTGGCAAAAGTTTCATCAGGGTTGGAGATTGAAACACACCTCTTATATTATTGATAGATCAAGCAGGCAAAATTTAACAAAAATATATGAGAATTGGATGACTCAAATAAACGTGATCTAATAAACATTTGTACAATTCTAGATCAACTATAGAGAACAAACATTCTTCCCAACCCCCCATGGAATATTTACAAAATGAACATGTCCTAGGTTTTATAATATTTTGCCAATTTTAAAGAATAAGCATGAGATTGAGTTTACATGTTTCCTATTCTATCGATAATCACTATATATTAAGTGAGCAATTTAGTGAATTTTATATGAAGAAATAATTGATACAGTGGATTGTAATATATCTTATCATTAACTTTTCATTTGCCATGTCCTTTTCTCTCATTTCTTGCCTTCTTTTGGATTGATCATTATGATTTTATTTTCCTACTTTATTGACATGACAGCTATGTAGTTTTAAAATTTTTCTTTTAGTGATTGCCTTAGAATTATAGTATTTATTCAAGATAATCTCCCTATCTTAATGTCTCCTGATTATCAACCGTAATTACATTTGCAAATTTCCCTCACAGGAATACCTTGTTTAGTGTTTGAATAACTAGGGAACAGGAATTTTGGAGGAACATCTTTAGAACTCTGCCTGCAGGGCTGGGAGTGGTGGTTCATGCCTGTAATCCCAGAACTTTGGGAGGCCGAGGTGGGTGGATCACGAGACCAAGAGATCGAGACCATCCTGGTCAACATGGTGAAACCCCGTCTCTACTAAAAATACAAAAAATTAGCTGGGCACGGTGACGCGTGCCTGTAATCCCAGCTACTCGGGAGGCGGAGGCAGGAGAATTGCCTGAACCCAGGAGGCAGAGGTTGCGGTGAACCGAGATCGTGCCATTGCACTCCAGCCTGGGTAACAAGAGCGAAACTCTGTCTCAAAAAAAAAAGAACTCTGCCTGCAATAATGTCTTCTAGTCCTTCGGACCCTTATCAACCGGGTTTAGATATGATTCTTCAGGTGTCATTCTTTTAGGATGAGGTGGTATGGTGTTTTAACAGGGCTTTAACGTGGCATAAGGTACAGTCTCGGCCGGGCGCGGTGGCTCAAGCCTGTAATCCCAGCACTTTGGGAGGCCGAGGCAGGTGGATCACGAGGTCAAGAGATCGAGACCATCCTAGTCAACATGGTGAAACCCCGTCTCTACTAAAAATACAAAAAATTAGCTGGGCATGGTGGCGCGTACCTGTAATCCCAGCTACTCAGGAGGCTGAGGCAGGAGAATTGCCTGAACCCAGGAGGGGGTTGCGGTGAGCCGAGATCGCGCCATTGCACTCCAGCCTGGGTTACAAGAGCTAAACTCCGTCTCCAAAAAAAAAAAAAAAAAAAAAAAAAAGGTACAGTCTCCCTGAATCTGCCCTAGTGTATACAAACTTCCCATTTCTTTTGGTAGGCGTTGCTAGAGTGGCAAACAAATTTCACTGAGTCTTTCCATAACCCAAGATGCCTAACCTGAATTAGGTCACATACGACCTGAAAACCCCTAAAGTTATATGGAAAATGACAGTGACATTAAAACGATGCATGAGGTTTTTCTCTCCATACACGAAATCGCTGGTATCCTGGAACCTCACCTCTTATGAAGTGCTTTTCTAGGACCTTAAAGCTGCTGTACGATTTATGGATGGCTCCACCACCCTCACATCCAAATGCATAAGGATGGCAAACACATAGAACACAGTCTGATGGTATAGATTTAAACAGAAAGATGAAGGAGCTTAGTCAAGTAGGCAGAACTGAAGACAGTACTCATGAAATGTACCTGGATTTTAACGTTCCGTCAGACTGCTTCTTACAAATTCTGTTACTTGTCTGTGCCTAATGGTTTAGGTAACTTGTCTGGCATTCTAATGGAGAAATTTTGTCAGCATTCAACTGGTTTAATTCCTATGCATTCAAGTTTCTGACATTTCTAATAGAACTGAATAACTAACTTTCTATATGGATGCCCACCAAATTTCTAGAATATACCAACCTTGAACAATAGTGTTGATGTGCAGACAGAACCTATAGACTCTCTGACATGACAAACACACTGAAAACAATGAAGCAAAGGAGAGAATAAAATGGACATGAAGAAAAGGATATTGCCTTTTGTAGGACCTAGACAAGGTGATTCCTACAGGAGCTGGAGAACATCTTCAAGTAGCTCATGAGTGTGAAGTGAGCTATAAATTAGTTCTTGCTCCAGGCATCCTCCATTTCCTAGAAGTATTATTATTATTTTTTTTTTTTGAGATGGTGTTTCGCTCTTGTTACCCAGGCTGGAGTGCAATGGTGTGATCTCGGCTCACCGCAACCTCCACCTCCTGGGTTCAGGCAATTCTCCTGGCTCAGCCTCCCAAATAGCTGGGACTACAGGCACGCGCCACCATGCCCAGCTAATTTTTTGTATTTTTAGTAGAGACAGGGTTTCACCATGTTGACCGGGATGGTCTCCATCTCTTGGCCTCGTGATCCACCCACCTTGGCCTCCCAAAGTGCTGGGATTACAGGCTAGAGCCACCACGCCTGGCCTCCTGAAAGTATTAACCCTTACTATCACTGACAGATAGATTGCAATGGGTCACTCTTTATGTTACATCCATAAAGCAGAAAGTATGTTATTACTTTGGCTAATTCTAATTTGGTTTATGCAGAAAGCAAATTCTTCAGCAGCTAATTATCCATGATTCCATACTGTCTGTTCAGAAAACACTTTTTTGCACCTGTTGTCTGTCTTTAGAGAGGGCATATGTATGCCTGTGGTTGGCAGAGCTAGACAAAGGATCTAGGCAGTTCAGTTGGCTTCAGGAAAGTAAACCTACATGCATAGGCCAATACATTGGAGAGACTTGCAAATGTAGGGGCTGGAAAAACCACAATTCCACTCTCCAGTTCCTCCTGGAGTTAACCTACTGCATGCAAATAGTTGTCATTCTAGCTGAAACGTATTGTAGACAAACACTAGCTGTTATAGTGTTGGGTGTGAAATCTCCCTTCATCTGTGTCCAAGAGAACCATATATATATGGACACATCTCATGTTCACAGATTGGAAGATTTAATATTGTTAAGGTGACAGTACTACCAAAAACTATCTACAGGTTCAATACAGTCCCTATCCAAATCCCAAAGGTGGTTCTTTCAT